CCCAGAGATCCGGGTCATTCCGGATCTCCCCTCCTTCCGCCGCGCCCTCAAGACATGGCTATTCCAGCTAGCGGGGCTGGCCTGAGGGGTATTTTAGATTGGATTTTAATTTGATTTTATATTGGGTGTTAACAAAATTTTAAATGAAACGGCAAAATTAATATTTCTTTTAATTATATTTTTAAAACGGTGTTTGTAGGGTTTTTATCTGTTTTTAGCTTGCTGTAAGCCGCCCTGGGTCCGTCAGGAGAAGGGCGGGGTATAAATCTAATAAAATCAAAATCAAAATCAAATCAAACTCATAGTTGTGGGATATTCTCTTTGACATTGAATGGATAATGGATGCCTCTGTCTAAAAAATTAAGCAAGGAAGTGATACATAGGAAGCGAAAATGGGGAGAGGCTACTTGTGACATGTAAATTTCCAACCATAATTATCAGATTGTGACTATTAATCTCTTCTTTCTGTGATTTTATGGAACAAAAAGTACTAGATATTATATATCTGTTATATATCATATATCTAGTTATGTATATTAGAAGTTCAAGAATGATGATCTGATTTTCAAAAGGATGCAGTTAATTAGTTAAACTATATATTTATAATAGTGATAATTAACAAAATAGATACACTAAGATTTTTAAAGCAATTCGTTTCAGCTTTCAACTTCTCCACTGTTCTTTTATCAAAAGAAAACATAATGTAGACTGTGAGAAATATAATTAGATAATTCAAATTATCTGCATCAGGAGAACAAAAAGATTAATAGTAATCAGTGATGGTTAACACAATACTAAATTGGAGTCATTACTAGAGATAATGCTTGCGTGTTTATGTTGGATAGCTTTGTAGATTTTGGAAAAGTTAGCAAATCACAAATAATTAAACAGAATGTTAGGAATGGTGCTAGGTTAAGATAATAGAAATAGAAACCTGTATTATCCCATATATCAAATCAAATAGCAGATAAAAGTATTTTTAGGTGCATGAACAGGCAAGGAGGAGATTAAATATCATATTCTTGTCTTCTTGTCATGTTTCTCCCATAATTTCACTTTTTCAATTGTAGAACACATTTTCTTCTTTCCACTGAAAGTAAACAGTGCTAATTTTAAGAAAGACTACATAAAAGTAACCAACATGACTTTAGTTTCCTTTCTTATTCCATGTATACATAAGATTTTAATTTAAAAACAGAACCTAGTTGGATAAATTTTTATTTCACTTTTTTTTAATGAAGATAGCCAGAGAGATTAATCATATTAAAGTGAAAGGATTTAGCTCTACTTCCAGCCATCTTCCTGAAAAATTCACTCATTTGAAGTTGGCATTTCTATCCATAGACATCTCCATTGGTACTAATAGATTATTTCCTAATAACGAAAATATCAGCTTCAAAGTAAAGAATTCAGAAGGAGAAAAAAAAGCTACATTTTAAATTTCCTCCTGATATTATTTGCATTTTCAAAGTACTGCTTAAATGCAAATATGTATCCTTTCATGACATATAGTTTCTGGTATTGTTAAACTACTGAAACTCTCACATATTTCATTAATATTTCCCTCAAGATAGGTTGGTGTGGGATTTTTTTAGACTTAATGTGCAATTTTATAATAATGCTAATAAATCATTTCTATAACGCATGAAATATCACTATACTTTGGCTTAAGTTTGACAGAAATAGTATTGTATAAAACATTCAGTACCAAGAAATCAAACGAAGAAGACTGTCATTTCATAGGTTAAAGGACTGCTATATTAGTAGTGCTCAACAAGGATTTACAAAAAATTGAATTAACCAAGATCAATTAAAATGCATTTTAAAATCAAGCAGAACTAGAAAATATTTTGAAGATTATTTTGGCTTGAAAATCTAACTAAATGCCAATTCATGATTTTTTCCCCCTTTTTCTTTAGGTGGATGATGACTGAGTGGACTTCATGCTCAAGGACATGTGGGAAAGGGACACAGAATAGGCAGGTGGCCTGTACTCAGCAACTGAGAAATGGAACCCTGATCAGAGCCCGAGAGAGAGACTGTCTTGGCCCTAAGCCTACTTCAACACAGCGCTGTGAAGGCCAGGACTGCATGACAGTGTGGGAAGCTGGCGTGTGGTCAGAGGTGCATGGATTATTTATTTACGTATGGTATTTCTAAGCTATCGCTCATCCAATTTATTACAAGACAGTTGTCATAAACTTAAGAAATAATTTATTTCTATTGGTTCTAGTGTGTTGGAATAAAACAATATTCTATACCAAGATAAAGTATAACAAAATACTTAAAATGTCAGGGCAAGTATAAAAAGCTTCATGTGGTGATGAAAAAGATTCATTGTCAGTGTCAGCTAAGCATTCTTTAAAAGGGCATTCCCTACTCAGTACATTTTATTTCAGGTAAGGTCACAAGTAGCATACCAGCCAAAGCTGGCAAAGGCCACTCCTGACAATGTATTCTACCTGTCCCCAGAGCAAAAGTTCTGAGTCCGGGAGACCCCTCCAGAATTGATCCTGCTCTCTCTGATGGCACAATGCCATTTGGGAATCAAGAATGGGACAATCCTGGAGACAGAAGGCTTTTGAATTAATCGATACTCTGACCTATTTGGGTTGCATCGAATCCAGACATTGAAAACCACCAGTCATTCCACCAATGGGCCCAGGCTTGATGATCTACAACTGGGTTTCATCAGCCTATTGATCATACCATATCTAAATTTATGGTTTATTTATCCCAGAGTTTTTGTGTAAATGTTATTCAGAATAGATGTCAGGCCCAGTCCAGGAATCACAGAACAATCCTGTCAAAGTTCAGCTCTTTATTTGTCCACACCATATAGACCAAATTGTTCTAGATTAAAAACTATATTGTTATAACCTTAGCAGGTATACTCTAGAAGATTCTAGACAATGGCTATGCTAAGTCTCTTCCTCACCACAATCTATTCTGCTCATGTAGGATTAGAATAACCGTGATGAAGCCTGGGAATATTCCCAACTCCCAACCTTTGCAAGAAGCTCCAAAGGATACACGGGTCACCTAAGAAGCATGGGATATTTGCTCCCTCGTTCACATATTTATTTATTTATTTGCTTTATTTAAGTGCCTGAAACCAGCCAGTGTCTATGTGACTTACAGAAACTATGTCGGAAACTATGTACTAAGAACAGGATAGAAATCAGGGCTGTGTATCAGCTTTACAATGCTGGTTTTGGGTGATATGTGTAAAAATTATGGGAGCTGCAGCTCCAACAGGTTGGGGATGCTGGTGAAAGATCTGAATCATGTTTCCATCTTCCTACAGTGCTCTGTAAAATGTGGCAAAGGCATACGGCATCGGACTGTAAGGTGCACCAACCCTCGGAAGAAATGTGTTTTGTCCACAAGACCCAGAGAATCAGAAGATTGTGAAGATTATTCCAAATGTTACATCTGGAGAATGGGAGACTGGTCCAAGGTACAATATGTTTTTTTATGAAATTGTCAGTACTAGACTTTGCCAAATACCGTGCAATGTATTTTTAGTGAAGGAGAAAGCACGAATAAAAGAAAAATGAGAAAAAAACATAAGATTATAATACTGATGTATTCTGATTTAACCATAAAAACAAATTTAAATGTACTGTATACAGTATACTAGAGTTATGAATGTCCTTCAGAAGAGGCGTTTGAAAACATGGAAGAACTATTCAGTTAGCATTTTTTCAAATAGTTAAATCAGCTGTGTCTTTTTTCCAACCTTGTGTAGCTTCTTCAGAAACCCGACATACGAAGAATTTGCACAGGCCTAGCATAGATTTATTCTTTACTGATTATTGTTGGTATAAACTTTCTGTTTATTTCGCCATTGTGTTTTTCAACTCCTTATTGTCAGCTTGTTTGTTCATACCTTGTGTGTCTGTGATTTCAGTGGACCGAGACAGGATAATCATAGAATCACAATTACAGAATTAGAAAAGAAATTGAGTGTGCCAAAACATTACGGGGAATATTTTTTTATGTTGCCAGACCTTGGAGAAAAATTACTAAAGAAATAAATCTTTGTGTGTTCAGATGGGGAAACACCAACTCTTAGAACATACAACACAGACCAATATGAGATGTATATATAGAAAAACAGAATAATATGAATTTTACACACTCAAAATATGTGGTGGAGTCATGGAGAACCTATAAAACAATTCAGAGTGGCAGGAGACTATAAATACTACTCCCTGTTCTCTGTGAGTGCTGACAGAAAATTTACCAGTCCCTACGACTTTAGTTGAATAGAAATGACAATTGCATAGCTCTTCTCTAGATCTGATAGTTAATTCTTTAACATACAGATAGCCTTGTACAGCTACCATAATCGGGACAAGCAACTCGGTCATTAAGTAAATCTGTTGCTAAATGAAACCACGACTGTGGTTATGATCTTACTTCCCTCCTTTACAAACCTGTGAAGGTGGTAAATGCGAGGATTGGTCTCAAAGTTATTTTTTCATCACTGTTGTAACTGATCGCTAAATGAGGCAGTCATTAAATGAGGACTACCTGCATGGGTACAAGCATATAACTCAGACCTCAAGTTCATTTCACAGTACGTCGCAAAACACAAAAAGAAAACAACCATGGTGATTTTATTGTTAAGTTCTAATATTTGCATTTGTTCTGGACACAACTGCAAAAGATTTAAAAAATTAATTTCAGCACTGCTCTGGCTACCCCTGAATATTAAAAATGGTCTCTAGATTCATATCCCTGAAATAGGGTCCGAGTACCCAAAGGTCATCTTGGAACAGCTTTTATATTTAGTAATATTTTATAGCTGTATAAGTACATCTGGTTGTATAATAGGTTTCAAGTCCTGGTTTGTATCCCAGGCTCTCTAAAGGCTAGCCAATATTGCATGTGTTTCATTTTACAAAGTATTCTGTGATTTGTTTTTTTTAAAAAAAGACAATGACTGATGGTAATAATTGTATTCTGGCATAATGATCTAAGTGGAAATTACATTGTATGTAATTAGTGTAGACTAGTTTTCAGTCTTACAGAAAATCTTATTAATAAATGCTGTTCATGTCAATTGGGAAACAAGTATCAAAGCAGCTTCCTGCCTATAAAAATCAGATTTTCATTATTGCCTCAGATGTATTTAGTTTCCTTTTGCAAAATAAGCCTTAAATTATATGTAGAATAGTATTTTTTTACTTTGAAAAACAAAAAAAAGTTTTAGTTAAATTTCCAAGTTGTGGACTTGGAAATTTAAATACTTATCAAAAGTATTTGTACAGATTCAGAAAAATGATAATGGGGATTCAGAACGTGCATGTGACAGAGACTAGACGAGAGTGGGGATTGTTAGCTTCCTGTTAGAAGAAAGAAACAGTGTTAACAAGTCATATGTATTATACATTTATGTAATCTAGAAAAATCCTTCTCCCTAGTCTGATTTGCAGTGAATAATAACAGTTGGTTATCCTGCTTAGTAAGTTTTAGAAGCCTGGACAAACTAAATGTGCTTTTAAAATCTATTCTGCTGCATAAAGCAGATTCTTTTCTTGTTTATGTTTAAGATATATCAATAATCTATAACTTTTAAGGTCCTGATCTAGTTGAGTTCAGGAGATCGCTGATGGTCTCCAACAAGACTTTATTCCCCCCCCCCTTATGTTCTCTGTGTTTTGGAATAGGTGATTTGTAGTTTTTAACTAAAGCAATCATTTGTTCTTGGAACAAATTGTCCAAACCTCTGTTGTTAACAGTAGTACAGATTTTCACTCTCAATTGAAGCTTTTTATGAAGCTCAGCAGTGATTGCAAACTATTATAGCTGAAGAAGACAGTTTAAATGCTATTCTTTGGCAGGGGCAGCTTCTTCCTTAATTTTTCCAGAGACCTGCTGGAAGAAACTATGATATTACATAATGTCCTCAGCTTTTAATCTAAGCCAGGGGTGTCAAACTGCCGGCTCGCCGGTTTCATCATACTGAAGCCGCGCCCATCCCTTTGCCGGCAATGCAAAAAGAGTCGCAATATGTCGCGACACGTCATGTGACATGGCAAGTTTGACACCCATGATCTAAGCATTTTGTACTTGTTTCAAAATATAGTCTTTGGAAAATTCAGCAACGAAGGAATCTCAAGTAACATTTGTGTGCTCCAAGTTGAAACATTTCATATTATCTCCATGTGATTAGTAGTAAATAAAAACTGAAATAGGTTATATTGCTTTTGCAAGAACACACCAAAACCTGCATGTTTTTCTGTCATCACCTTCTTTGTGGAATATTCTTTTTTGTATTCTTTGACAAAAATACTCTGCTTGGATTGTTGCTTAGATAGGTTTTTAAAACATTTAATGCTGCATGTAGAGGTGCAGAGTAAAAATGTTTGTGTTTATTAGTGACTTCTGGTTTGTCATCGCATTTGGAAATTAGTTGAAAATAAGGATGTTATACTGTATTATTAACTAGATGATGTAAGATGGTGGGAAATAGAATATACTCAAATAGATAAGATGTGTATCTTGAATATTAGACTTTGTTATGAATTGAGATGAAGGAAACTTTGGTTACCTAAAACTTGGAAATTATAAATATCAAATGTTAAATTTAAATATTGATGGGAAACTAAAAATTGGGAAACTAACAACAGGACATTGATTGTCTATAAAGATTGAATGTTAAAGCAACAAGGATATGTATAAGCTAAAAATTTATTGATAAATGTAACAATGCTATTTTTACTTAACTGATATAATAAGAACTACGGTATATTAGTTCAAATACGAGACAGTAGATATTAAAGAAAAAAGAAAGGAAGTATTTGATGTGGTAGCTTGAGATTTGTACTAGAGATTTTTGTATGTTACTGAATTATCGATTAACCCAGCCACCACGTTGCTTTTTAAATACTTAAATGTAAAATTAGAAAATTAATAAAATATTACAAAAAAATGTTTGTGTTTATTAGATATTTTTCCAGCCCAGATAGGATACCCCTGGCTGGAACCATTTTCCAGTCCAGATAAGGTAACCTTGTCTATATAATTATTATTTGCTAATCAAGAGCAGTTAAAAGCAGTTCACATTATGAGGTATATGGTTTTCACATGTAACAATGTATTCTGAATTTGAAATGATTTAATGAAACCACATGTGACCTACTTAAAATGTACTGTAAAGAAAGGTATGTTTAGGCACAAGGTATGTTACACATTACAAAAATGTTCTTCTTTATATCAAATTCTTTTAAGCTGGCAACTTGTCTTGCAGTTGACACCAACTTAAAAGGCTTGATATTTACCAGAGAGCAGAAAATTGATGAAAAGCCACACAGACTTTCCTGAGGATTCTATGTATGCAATAAACCTGCAGATTGCCACCATATTATAGGGACTAGAGTGGCTGACAGCAGTTCTACAGTTTTTCATAAAAGAATTGAATTTAGTCTGTTTGTGTAATGCACAATGATGATTTTCTATCTGGATTTTATGGTGTGGTAATGCCATAGTGTCTAAGTTCACACTGGATTTAGTAAGGTTTTGTTCCATTAAACCTTGCTTTCCCAATCTAAAACTGATCCTCTGTAAATGTTTAGGGGATCCCACTTGCTGATCAGTCCTACTTCCTTGATAGTGAGTCTTTGGAATATGAAGGTTTTGGCACTGAAAAATTTATTTTGATATTGAAGTGACTTGCAATTGAGTGAATAAATGCCAACTACAATTCTGTGGGTGTTCTTCCAGAATTTGTACTTCTGTCACCAAAGAAAAAAGTGAATTGATATGCCATTTTTATGTACACCTTTGCATAAAATTGTGTTTGGGGAAATACATTTATGACTTCCAAAGTGATAAAACAGGATCATTCCTGTTTCAAATTGTTAAGCCACAACTTCATTCAACTTAGGTGTTCCACATTCCATTTTATATTTACTTATTCCATCCACGATGAAATAGCAACCATGATACTGTGCCCGATATAATAGAGATCATGTTATTTTTCTGATTGTTTTATATCTGTTCTTAATAATATAATTTCCATTTCTTAATATCTAGATTGAGGTAGATTTAATTTTTTGGGCAAAAAAAAAATACATTTTTCCTTATGTAAGTGTATCTTGTATTCTTTGAAGTGTTCTATCACCTGTGGAAAAGGAATGCAGTCACGGGTCATCCAGTGCATGCACAAGATCACAGGAAGGCATGGCAGTGAATGTTTCTCCTCTGAAAAGCCTGCAGCCTACAGACCTTGCCACCTGCAGCCCTGCAATGAAAAAATTAATGTGAACACAATTACATCACCTAGATTGGGTAAGTGACTGCAAAGGTCATATGAAGATGCCTATTCTGGTTTGGTCCTGCGATTTTCAAGTTATGTTTATCTGGCTCCTAAGATCAAAATTCTGGCTTCTTTTTACCTCAACTGTGAAAGAAATATTAAGTCTATGTTCCAGATAACCCATATAGTATGCTTATGACACAGAGACTATATTGTAGATCAATATAGTCTCTGTGCCATAAGCATACTATATGTGAACTATTTAAGAATTATAAATGTACCATATACAGAATCATCCTTATAACAGTCTAGATTTAAGAGGCTCCTATATTGTTCTCTCCCCAGTCTAGTAGGTGATAGGTACTTTTGGATTCAGAAGCAAAACCCACATACAGTAAGTATGAGTGTTAAGGAATATTTATTTATACCAGGTGGCAATGAGACCATCACAAAGTTTTTAGTTGAAAATAAGAACTATTCATCCTCCTCTATACATATGTCTCATGCAGAAGACAAGACAAAAGAGAGTATAACCTTTTACTAACTAACATAAATCCTTGCTTAATTTTGTATTATGTACTCAACAGTTACATGGAAATGTAAATTCTGCATACTGTGCACCTAAGGGAAAGAGGTATATACCACTATCCAATTCTTCTTTGCCAATCTTATGGTGAAACCACTATCATTACAGTTCCTTAGATAGGTGATAATATACAAAGATTCTAATAGAGACTTTTCAAAAATGGTCATCTGTTTTTTGCAGCAAATGTTTAGAAGCTAGTCTAGATGGTGTTAAGTGATACTGAATCCTAATAATTTGCTTAAAAAATTAGCCTTTGTTTCTACATTTCTAAAACTGTTTTTATATTTTAGTTGTATTTCATTCTTAGCTTGTTGTTTCATAACATGTTATCAAGTACATTTAAAAAATTAAATTAAATAAATGACTTTTTCTGTCCAGCTTGTAAGGACTACCTACTTTGCAAATGACAGATCTCTTGGGATCTTGCATGCTATGAAACAAAGCAATAATGTCCCATCTCAATTCTAGAACCAGATGTTTTTGGAAAATAAAAAATAGCTATAGCCCAATGTTGTGTTCAGAACTGTGCCCACCTGCCTATAAAAAACAAGGCTAATAACTAAGGCAGCTAAAACATCAGAGAGCAGGATGTTATGAACACATCCTTATCTATTTTATTTAATTGATTTTATTGATCTAAATATGTTTTTGTAATTAGGCATGCTTACCATAACAGCTATTTTCTGAAAATGCCCATAATATTCTCTTAAAATTTCAGATGTGCAAACCAACCAGAAAGGTTGAATATTCCTATGTGATATAGAGCCATAGTGATATCTGTGATTCTGTTTTATTTCTCAGCTGCCTTAACATTCAAGTGTCTTGGAGACCAATGGACTGTATATTGCAGAGTGATACGAGAGAAGAACCTGTGTCAGGACATGAGATGGTATCAACGTTGCTGTGAAACATGCAGGGACTTTTATGCACAGAAGATGCAGCAGAGGAGTTGACCCGTAGCAGGCAGGCTCGTGGGCTCTCAGCTTTTCACAATCACATTATTTATAAACTCACACACATTTCCTCAAACCAAATATATCAGATTACATATAATTTAATCAAAGTAATTTATTTTTGCCTGCGCAGACATTTAAAAAAAATGGTTAAATAGCTTTTGTTTGGGTTTTATGATCAGAGTTTCCATAATTAAATTTTATATGAATTATTTTGGATACATTTATGAGACTTTTTCTAAAAATACTATTTTAAATGTTTATATTCAACAAGGTAAGCAACTATTTTGGCATCCTTGCTATTCAAAAGAGAAGTAGTGCAGTACTACAGATAGATAAGTTTGCTAGTCTTGTTCACTTGAAATCAAAGGCACTTAAGCCTATTAAACTGCTTACTGCATTGGATAATAAGCTATCATACTACCCTGAATTTATTTTCTATTTAGATGAATAGTTTTTTCTGTACTGTATATGGAAATGAAGTCATCTTTATTTTTATTTTGTTTATATGTTGGTGCTCAGAGTCAGATTGACTCCAGAAATTTTGCAGCAGGTTTTGGAACTCCATTCATACTTTGTAAAGGGCCATATATAACACAAACTGTTCTTGGAAATGTATTTATGTAGCAAGTGTAACACTTGACTCAGCACATCCATGAATATAGCCAGTTTCTTAAGCTACATTTTCATCGTTGTTCCACCAAAATAATCACAAGAGTTAATTCTAGGAAGTTGTGGGTAATTTTCATCAACCCTCTGTATCATTTTATATATTTTCTGTATAAATGTACTCTGGAAATTGTTGGAACGCCTTAAGTTGGTAAGAGCTGTGTGTGCCCTTAGAAACGTACTATAGGAAATTATCTACTGTAATTTATAAATCTTTATATCAAAATTAGACAAACATGGCAAAGTAGGCATTTTAATCATGTGAACATATACTTGAACACAAGTATTGAAGCAGTTAAACACTGTAAAGATTTACACTGAATCTCTGTTGCACTCCTTTATGTAATGTAGAAAAACACCTTTATGAACCTTGGAACATCTTTTAAAAGAAGTCTGTGCTGTTTTAACATGTCATTTGCTTTTAAGTATACCAAGCAAAAGGCCGGTGGCTAACTTGCAATGTTCACATGTAATTTTGGGGAAATTTCTTTTACCAGTGGGAGGAACCTAATGCTTACGATGAATCAGGCTACATTTTCAGGTTTTTTTAAAAAAAACTTATAAGATACTTCTGTGATAAATTGTTTCATTACAAAAAAGTTATTAAAAATACACTTTTACAATTTTGTGAAATGTGAAGAAAACACTTTCCTTTTGAAATTTTGTACATAACTCACTTGATTTTTATATTTTCAATAAATATAATTAGAGATGTATAAATATATATTTTTATAAATTCCATTTATATACCTTTTCTTATTCCTTAACATCTGTTTTCGGTTCATAATAAAATCAGGACAGGGAGGGAAAAAAAGCAGACACTGAACAGCAGAAGCTGCCTTACTTTGAGTTATACTAGTGGTTCAGACACAGAATTAATTCCAGAATTGACTGGAAATAATTACCGAAAAACTATAGAAAATTTTACTTTCCAACCATGTGTATGTAAGATCTTTCTCTATTATTGTGTTAAAGTGCTATCCACTGATCTTTAAATGAACTGAAAACTAAGCAGCATGAAATTTGCTGCCTCTGTTGCTGATAAATACCCTGCCTATATTGCATCTCTCATGAGTCAAACCCAGCAGTGCTGTCCTGGTTATGAGTGTGCAGCACCTGATACACAAAACAATTGTTGATTCTTCTAGTTACCCTTTTTTCTCCCTCTGAACCATGTCACTACCTGATAAGAAAATCAGAATTTCCAAATCACAACGCTGCCATAAAAATGGGGCAAATCTGATAGTAGGACTTTGATGTCTTTAGACTCCTTCCCTTCTTCTTGTACCCCATTCTGTAATAGCCCGTTGAATAAAACAAACACAAAGCTATCCAGGTCATGAAAGGAGCTGAGTTACACAACCCACTATTCTTTAAAATATCTCCTTGCCTTTCTTTCATATACTGTAGGTAACATATGGCAACTTCTAGATTCCTCCATGTTCTGTTCAGGGCTTCATTTTGGAACAAGAGGTTGGTCCCATCATTTCAGTATTGTACTGCTTCAGGCTATTATGCAATTTCACTATTATGCAATTTCATACCCCCCACCCCATTCCCAAGTAATTGTCTTCACGTTTCATACACTGCTATGTATGGTTCTAGGAAAACAATTTCAGGATGGTATCTACAACACCGCCTGGGGACTAGAGGCAAAAATTTTGTATGCCCATATCAGTCTGAACCTGGTAATAAATGCATTGAGCTCATCTCCCGACTTCAATTCTGACTTATTGGATGGCCAAAATCTAGCAGATTTTATTCACATTGCATTTATTGTTGGATGCTGTCATCTTAGTAGAGAAAATATTTGCGATAGTGGCAAATATCTGTAGCTCGGGTGTAGGATGAGGGTGAAGGTTTGTTCTCTGAACTTGTGGGTTAGGTCAATGACATCTCCTAAATTCCACTGAAGATGTTACCTAGCCTGGTAACGAAACGTTCGGAAACCAACCCACATGAGAAAATATTGTGTATTGTGAGTACAGTTAAGGTTGTCTTGATCCTTTCTTGCTCATGACATGGAATGAAATGAAGGCATTGTGTGGCAGAAAAATGTCACAGAGGCATGTTGGTTACCATGGTTGGTGCAGTTGGCAAAAGGATTATAGATGATTCTGCAAGCAAAACCTATCCTAAACTACGTTTGTCTCATGTCATATAAAACTTTAATGTCTAAGTATTTTATTTATGTATATGGTACCACTCAAGTCCAATGACTCTGAGTGGTTTAGAAAAAAAACCCACTGTAAAACAAGATAGCAACCTTGAAAGAGGCTGGACCTATCCTAACCAAAGCCATAAACCAGCGATTCTCAACCTATGGGTCGCGACCCCATCTGGGGTCGATCGACCATTTCACGGGGGTCTCCAAGCAAGGCTGTCCGCCATTTTTTTTGTCCGCCATTTTTTTCCCCCTTTTCCGGTGGGTGCCTTACCTCCCTTGGGCTGGGCCAGCTGGTGGTCGGTCTGCTCCGTCTCAGAATGCACGGCGCTCCTGGGCAGGGAAAGTCCTTGACTTACGACCAGTTGGGTAGTCCTTGACTTACGACCGGTTTAGTCCTCGACTTACGACCGGTTTAGTCCTCGGCTTACGACCGGTTGGGGGTCGCGGCATTAAAAAGGTTGAGAACCACTGCCATAAACAAAGATCCAGGTCTTCAAAGCCCTCCAAAACAGCAGCAGGGTGAAAGCCATCTGGATCTCAGAGGGAAGTTCATTCTATAGGCCAGAGAAGGTGTGTTTCCTGGGTCTTTGTAAATGGCAATGCTTAATCAAAGTCTGTAGTACAACTAGAGATAAGTGTCTCTCAGGTAGCCAGGACTTACATCATTTCGATTTGTTTTTTTCAATGTGAGAACAGGTCAGTGATATCAAAATAACAGGCATTTTTATATGTGTGCAAGATGATCCGTGATAGAAGGGATCACCAAATCATCCCCACAACTGGTTTATTTGTCCTAAGACAAACTTTTAATCTCTACCAAAAGGAAGCATTAATTACTGGTTTCCTTTTTGGGGCCAGAGCAACCATTGATTTGTTTGTTTGTTTTATTTATTAAATTCTAATGAAGATTTGTTCTGGCTTCAAGAAGAACTCAGCAACCAAGCATTCACAACCACTAAAAGGAATATTCAGGAGATTTGTACTCATAACAGCAGGTTTTTTAAAACCATGCATGAATAAGCCTATAATTTTGCTAACTATTGAATACAGTTTACTGTATGTGCTCTCGTCTGTGGGAAGAAGCATGCTTATTTATATTGTGTGAAATTATTTTAATCCTGCTCCTGGTTGTGAAAAAGCAGTTAGCCACGCAAAAGTTAGCTCCATATAAAAGAGAAGCCTAAAATAAGGAATATAAATATACATAATAAAAATCTATTTTGTTTCTCACTGCAACTGCCCTATGTTGCAACCCAATGATCAGAACAGTCCGGTGCTTAGAAAAAACATGGAAAAGGAAAGGTGACTGGCCATCTTCAAGCATATGTTGAAAGCAACACGAAAAACGTCACCAAATGCCTGTTATATAATTTAATCATACAAATATTAAAACTGTGTTTTTCCAGTAGGATCTGGCAATGTGTTGTTGCATTAGATGGTGCAGTGCATTTGTTCTATGACTCCTCCTCTCCCAAAGCTATATTAGTCCTAATAAGGAACTCTCTTTGGAGAGCTATTTAGTTTCCATCTTATAGAAAGGTTATATGCCATGTCAGTTTGCAATCTGGATTACATCAAAATCATGCTGCAAATCAAAGTGTTCCCCCCTGCTTGCATCGTTTCTACTTAAATTGACTTGAGTTTACTTGTCTTAAATTATTAAACCTTAAAATGCTACATAAAAATACTGTTGCTGTAGATTCAAATCATGCACACAGGTACTGATAATCACATTTGATGGACCCCTTCATAGCTTTCCCTGCAATTTGCGCAGGCATTAGGAAATGAGTTTGCTTGGCATCCAAGACAGCCAGATACAATTTCAAGTATCAGAAAAGCCCTATCTTTGTTCACTTAATTAATTATTGAAAGCAAAACTAGCTGCCGAGAAGAGTAACTCAGTTACACTAAAAGGTAAGGGAGAAAGATGGATTTCTCTGCATTGCCAAATAACAACAACCCTGATAAATTCCTTCAGCTAGAAGTGAAGTCCTTAGCAAAAACATCAGTCTTTTTACAAACCTGGTTGGCAAATTTTCCAGAACCTTTTCCTGAAGAACAGAAGTGGCACAATCGAGTCTATTCACAGGTAAGCAGCTTAAGTTCCAGACTTGGTTCTAACTTGACATAATGAGGCACTATATTCAAGGAAGCAGAATTTCCAAACTTTTGGCAATTATTGTGCACACTTCTTTTGCCCAGCATTACTTTTGTGCTTTGTCAAGAGTTCAATATCCAAGGCAATAGTGTCACACAATATTTTATATTTAATCTAAGGGAAACAAAAGTGAGGAACTGTTTTGTTCCTCAGTTGCTACAAAATAATAATCGTCTGTTTCTTCTTTTTCCCCTCTGTTTTCACCCTGACAGTATTATTTTGGGTGAAGAAGTATTTTAAATTAGTAGCGGAAAGAAAAGTTGTGCCAAAGTAGAGGGTTTGGTGGTTAAGGTATTGTTTAGCTGTCTTACTTGAATTGGATGAGTCCTGAATCCTGCTTTTAAAAACTTCTCTATGTATGTCCTGAACCCATAATGCTCACTTTTGCAGCCACCACTGTGATCTTTTGTTGTTCCAATACTTGGCTCACTGCTGAATCCAGTACATAAAGCAGAGGAACAAGATCTCCTGCTATGTGTTAAGGGCCATCAAAAACAACTTAAGCATTTATAATGCATACAATGAAAGATCCTCTAGAGTGCATATAAAGTGAAACTTTCCATTTACAATAAGTATGTTGGCATCTTGTCTTTGCCTGTCATATTTTCATGGATCTTATTCAACAGCAAGGCACTGGTTCTACTCTTTTGACTTAACTCTACTTTTTTTTAAAGACCTGAACAAACAGCTGGATGTTAATTTTTTTATGGAATCTTAAATACAAAGGAACTCAAAAGAGTTATTTGCTTGCTTTGTTTTTTACTCCAGCAATCCTGCCTGCAGTCTCAAAATTTTGTAGCATCCCATAATGCCTAATACTGTAATTGTAACTTGTTTCTATTTTATCACAAGATGCAGACTTAATTATTATTTTTTGTCTATTTTTCCTCTCATAATACCTCCCATCTACCTTTTGTAATATCTTGTCTGAAGGTTTGCATATTGTTCAGGAGCTTAAGTTGGCCTATTAAAGGTATTATCCTAATCATTAAAAAAGAAATGGAAAAAACACTACTAAGCATCTATACTATATAAATATCAGCCCAATAAAATAGACCGGATTAAAAAAAATCAATGCTATTTAGGTTACTACTTTTATTGTAACAGTTATAGTTAGCGAATCTTGCAAGTCTGAGGGTACTTCCATCACCCTCACTTTATAGAACAGAATAGAATTCTTTATTGGCCAAGTGTGGTTGGACACACAAGAAATTTATCTCTGGTGCATAACCTCTCAGTGTACATGCAGTAATAGTGATAATCGTGATCATAAACAACATGAAATACAATTCATCAGCAATCGTAAAATACAACATTTCATCATCAATCATAAGATGCAACACT